ACCCTATTGATTTTCCCTGTTCCCCATCCTTCTCTTGCAAAATGTGGGCATATCTTGCATGACAACCACTTGTTTTACTTCCTGTAACCAGGGTAATTAATTTTGACAAAAATTGGTGAATTAAAACCTATAAGCCACCTGTAGATCAAATGATCTCTCAGAATTAATAAATGAATTAATATTTCCATGTGTAACTCTGGACCTTATTTTGTCAACCATTATGCCCTCCATGAAGTGAAAAAAAAAATAGGTAAAAAAGCAAGTCTTATACACCAATACACCAGAAAATTTGGAAACTGAATTTACAAACTTGAATTCGTAACCAATGATTATCGTCCTTCGGGCTCACAATGTTAAGTAAGGTCATGGACTTTATAATATAAGGTCCATAGTAAGGCTGTTGAATGTTGGTTGGTCTGAAAAAATCAAACATCCTACCAAATGTTTATTCATAGTCTAGGTCACCAAGACATTTTGAAGGTTTCTACAAAAAGAATTGGCAGAAAAGTGATGTAATAGCATACATGTCAGTGACATGTTAGTTTTGGTTATCCTGTGTTGTATGTTTGTGGTAAACTGACAGCTTGCTAATATGGACTGTATACCCAGCTTGTAAGTCTCACTTTTGTTGGGGGGGTTGGATGGCCGAATGGTTAGCACGCGTGACTGTATCATAAGGTCTGTCATTCTCCGGTTTTACTTGACAAGGAGTAGGGTCGTCTGTCCAATCTCGTGGGTTTTCTCTGGGTTCTCCGGTTTCCTCCCACGGTTAAAGACCCCTATGCACAAGCGAATTATTGAAATAAAATTGAACCATATGTTAGTCCCGAAATGACCTAATTTGTGTCGAGTGGACCTTATACCTTCTCACCCTCTCTCTCTAAAAGAAAAGTATGAAGTCAATTTTTGTTATGCTACCTAATTCAAATCAGCAAAACGAACCTGAACCAATCATTTTTTTTGTCTACATTCTAACACGTTCAATTCAATTCAATCAATAATAATAATAACACACCTTGTAAACAGCCTTTTCAAAGTTCGATTGATTTAAACAACCCTTGAACTTTGTGTGTATGTATATATGTATTTGCGTTGATATAATGTTGTTACATATTGAATATCTGACTGTGAAATTCACAGTTTGATGAGTTAAATTTGATTTTTATGACATCAGTGGGTGTTAATGTATGATTAATAATATCTTAATATTCAATTAATGTGTATTTATGTTCAATTAATATCTTTATAATAAAAGACCTAATAGCACCATTCCCCCATGGTGCTTCTTTATCTTACAACTATGTTAATATATGCGTGAACATGTCTGCATATTGTAGGCCTGTTTTAGAAAAATGGTTGGTTCATGATTAAAGAGGCGTTGCCACTCTCACCAAGAAAATAAACGTACAAGCATTGTCATATTCAAAATAACCCTAGATTCACTTTATAGTGGTAAATTTAAATACTGGCGTATTTTTTTTGCCAGGGGCCCCAAAGTGTTCATGTCACTTTAAAATATTTTTAAGAATTCGTTTATTTAAACCGTCCAGTGTTTATGTTTTGTAAAAAAATCTTTTTGTTGTTGTGGTTTACATGTACTGAAAATATTGTGTTGTGATTACGATAACTTCTTTATACAACTTACGATTAGTGTTTATCAGCGAGTTGGCTGTTGTCTTGTGGTAAGTTACCATTGACTCGTAAATCATATAGTATTTTTATATCAAACTAAATTCTCTCTGAAAAGAATGGAAACGTAATTAATTGTCTTCTTAAATTCTGTGGTTTGTGGCTCACTCCTAGAATTGTAGTTAGTGGCTAGCTCTTAGAACTGTAGTTACTGGATCATTCCTAGAACTGTAGTTAGTGGCTCTTTCTCAAAACTTTGGTTAGTGTATCGCTCCTAGAACTGTGGTTAGTGGCTTGCTCCCAGAACTGTGGTCAGTGGCTCTCTCCCACAATTGTATTTAGTGGCTTGCTCCCAAAAATGTAGTTAGTGACTTGCTCCTAGAACTGTGGTTAATGGCTCTCTCCCATGTAGTTAGTGGCTTGCTCCCAGAACTGTGGTTGGTGACTTGCTCCCAGAACTGTGGTTAGTGGCTCTCTCCCATGTGGTTAGTGACTTGCTCCTAGAACTGTGGTTAGTGGCTCACTCCTAGAACCGTGGTTAGTGGCTCGCTTCCTGAATTGTATTTAGTGGCTTGCTGCTCCCAAAACTTTGGTTAGTGGCTCTCTCCCCAAACTTGATTCCCCAAACTTTGGTTTGTGGCTTGCTCCTAGAACAGTGGTTAGTGGCCGAATGGTTTAACACGTGCCATTAGATCACAAAGGTCTGTCATCGTGTCAAGTGGCATGGTTTAGATTCCCTGCTTGTACGTGACAAGGAGTAGGGTCAATTATCTAACTTCATAGGCTTTCTCCGAGTCCTCTGGTTTCCCCCACTGCTAAAGACTCCTGCGTGCATATGAATTATACAAATAAAACTGGACCATATGTTCATGTGAAAATGACCAGGTTTGTGTCAGGTGGAGGTCAAATTCTCTCTCTCTCTCTCTCTCTCCATCCACAACAGCATGAAAGTATATTGACTCTATTTTCTGAAACTAACAGCAACTTCTGGTGACCTGGTAAAGACCTTTTAATTTATTTCAAGAACATTCATTTACGTTTCTTAGTCATTTGAATTTTGTTTTTGTGAAACCCTCATTATAACTACTATGTATGAATGCGAATGTATTATGCATTAATTTGTCTAGTTTGCATGTGTATAGTTCATAGTATGATTGTATTACAATCATTTGGAATTGGTTTTTGTCAAACCCCATTATGACAAGTGACTATCGTATGAATACGACCTTATTGTGCATTAACATATATAGTTCGCACGTATTTACCTCATGCACTTTATGTCGTGTTCTAGTTCATTGACTTATAATAGGACATTTGCAGTTTCTATTAGGAACATGATACCATACATATTGTGGATTCAATAACTTCTGAACATGAATTGAAATAAAATATTTTTCAAATACTACCATACTATTCATAGCTCACACTATTATTTGGGGGTGTATATTAAACGAAATCTATTTGGGGATCTATATTAAATGAAATGTATTATTTGCAGGTAGAATATAGATGAAATCTATTATTTGGGGGTGTATATTAAATGAAATCTATTATTTTGGGGTGTATATTAAACGAAATGTATTATTTGGGGGTGTATATTTTGTGAAATCTATTATTCGGGGGTGGATATTAAGTGAAATCTGTTATTTTGGGGTGTATATTAAACGAAATGTATTATTTGGGGGTTTATATTAAGTGAAATCTGTTATTTAGGGGTGTATATTAAACTAAATCTATTATTTGGTGGTGTATATTAAACTAAATCTATTATTTGGGGGTGTATATTAAACTAAATCTATTATTTGGGGGTGTATATTAAACTAAATCTATTATTTGGGGGTGTATATTAAATGAAATCTATTATTTGGGGGTGTATATTAAATGAAATCTATAATTTGGGGGTCTACATGTATATTAAATGAAATCTATTATTTGGGGGTGTATATTAAACTAAATCTATTATTTGGGGGTCTACATGTATATTAAATGAAATCTATTATTTGGGGGTGTATATGAAACGAAATCTATTATTTGGGGGTGTATATTAAATGAAATCTATTAATTTGGGGGTGTATATTAAATGAAATGTATTATTTGGGGGTGTATATTAAACGAAATGTATTATTTGGGGGTGTATATTAAGTGAAATCTATTATTTGGGGGTGTATATTAAACTAAATCTATTATTTGGGGGTGTATATTAAATGAAATCTATTATTTGGGGGTGTATATTAAATGAAATCTATTATTTGGGGGTGTATATTAAATGAAATCTGTATATTAAATGAAATCTATTATTTGGGGGTGTATATTAAATGAAATCTATTATTTGGGGGTGTATATTAAATGAAATCTATTATTTGAGGGTGTATATTAAACGAAATGAAATACAAAAGAGTTTAACATCAATAATGCAGTGTGCTATGAGGGTCGTTGCTTCAGGAACATGGGTAGCTGATGGTTAGTGAGCTATGTATACACTGTGGGTAGACACAGTCATTATGTATAATATTAATACTTCATTTCGATTTAATTCCCAAGATATTACTATTTGGTAACTATGTATGATAAACTTCATTTCGATTTGATTGGTGCGCGCTGTATCACAAGGTCTGTCATTGAGTAAACTGGCATGGTTTCGATTCCCCGGTTGTACATGGCAAAGAGTAGGGTCGCCTGTACAACCTCGTGGGTTTTCTCCAGGTCCTCTGGTTTCCACCCACTGCTAAAGACCCCTATGCACAAGCGAATTATTAAAATAAAATTAAACCATATGCTAGTCCCGAAATGACCTAGTTTGTGTCAAGTGAACTTAAAGTCTTTCTCTGTCTCTCTCATAGGATAAATATCAACTGAAATATTAGTACAATGATTGCTGTAATTTCTCAGACTGCTGTACACATAATTGGGGGAGGGAGGGGCTGCACTATGACCCACTGTTATACACCGGTGCCTGCAAATTACAGTTTAACACTCATGTTGTAAATTATTTAATTTATACGCTAGCTATTATTTGTAAATATTTAAAGAATTGAGATATAGAGTAAATGTAGAATGAGTATAGTAGCCAGTATGTATCAACACAATTCATCTGTCTTATCTCATTCATTCATAATAGCGGGTAGCCCACATTATACCAGTACATTATACCAATACACATATCATAATTACATATATTGATTTGTCTTGACCATCCAGGTTCACCATTTCAAATCAATAGTACATGTACTTGACATTCAGCATCATGGATTTATGAGAAGCCGGTAGTAACTGAGTAATCTACCACCCAACACCCCTTTACTTGAAATATAGACTCTACCGAAATATCTGGTGATTCTATTTTAACCAATACAAGGGAATGAGTGGATTGTACCAACTGTAAGGTAGTATAGGGAGTATCCACTATGTCACATTCAAAACTAGTAAAAGAATGTAGGCTATTGGCATAAATTTGTGCCAGTATAATTCCACATTCCAAGACAATCAGTGTGAAGGATTATGTATTATTGAAATATTTTGTGGTGTGGCGTTTTCTGTGATATGTTATTAATTGAAGAATGGTTCTATTATATAATCGTACAAGAGAACATGTGCTTTAATGATCTAATCAGTTATTAGACTCAGTGACAGTATTATATCAGAGCGGTGGAGGTGGGTATATTTTTATCTCAGTTATCTCGTTGTAAAGGTACATTTTAGTTAAATAAATAAAAGACCTGTTATCTCATTTTAAAGATGCGATTCAATTTTTTCAATCAGACGTAAAAATTTTCAAAGAATAAACAGGATAATTGTAAATGTGTCAGAGATGTCGGTAGTTTTTGTGATGTAATGAGTCAACCTTGTTTGTAGTATAGATTTGAATTTAGGTGTATAACGTCTTTAGGGAAAGGTATGAATGGGTTGTTTCTAAGGTTATGGTACATGCTCTACAAGAGGGAGAATTTTGCCAGGATGGTGGTGGTCGTTTCCACTTATTTTGTTTAATGTGGTTGTATATTGTTGTCACCATGTCCGTCTGTCGTTCACATTTCTTGTTGACACAATAGAGGCTACAATAGTCCACATATCTTTATATTAATATGGATTGTTTATCTCATTGTAAAGAAGATGCCTGTTGATTTTTTATTATAAGTTTCAGAGTTATTTCCTGTATTGGACGAAATCGATTATAAACATACCTGTTAGTTAATTCTCTTCTTTTATTGAAAGGGGGGGGAGACAGGGTTTGGATTACGTGTGCGTTGTACCAGAGGGACTGTACCAGAGGGTTTCGATTCCCCGATTGTCCGTGACAAGGAGTAGGGTCGTCTGTCCAGCCTCGTGGGTTTTCTCCGGGTCCTTATTGCTGTTGAGCGATTTTCGAATATATATTCCAGAGTTATCCCCCATCTGTTATGAAATCTTGTTAGTCTCTTCAAGACTTTATGAATTATCTTTTTGAAATTAGTTAACCATAGAATATAATTGGACGTTATAAAATGTCCAGGGTTTAAATCACAGATGTGTCTAGTTGTTTGGATGGTAAAAAAAAAAGAACTGAGTTTTCATCTGGCCATTTAATCCAGAAAATGTTCCAAATGTCGTAAAGATTTTATGCCAATTTATACCTCATGACTGTTTCCTCCATTTTCTTATCAGCATCATATGAATACTTATATCATAAGTCAAAGTCCAATCAACTGGGTCAATCTGGAAAATTCTTATATAAATGAGGAGAATTGTGTATTTTAGTGTAGTTGAGTCATGAATTAAAGTCCAATAAACAAGTACTAGATTTACAATAAAATGACAGATGTTGAATTTAGAATATAAATATTTTATTTTATTTACGCCCATATTTTCCAATGGAGGTATTCTGTTGTCCCACCTGTCCGTCCATCCATCCATCCACACCTACAGGTCACAATTTTTATCCGATTGATTTTGGTGTGTATAGGACCTTAACTTCCTGGATTATGTCCCCTGATTGTACGAAAAATTGCGATTTTAGTTTGTGGTCCCTTTAAGAGGTCACAATTTCTATACGATTATCATGAAATTTAAAATATATTAGTATATCCCAAAGATCTGGGCTCCTGTCGATACTTGTGTGTATGGGACTGTAACTTCCTGGATTATGGCCTCTGATCATATGTAAAAAAAACAAAAACATTTTAAGCTTGTTTTCTGTCCATTGCTTGCAAAATGTAGGCGTATCTTGCATGGCAACAGCTTGTTTAAAAACATATTGTGATCAAAGTTTCAGGGAGAAGGGTTTGACATAGGCGAAGCCTGTTCCCCAATCCCATTCAGACATCCTGAATAAAAATATTGTTTTAGAAAAAAAGTTTCAGGTTTGAAGTGAAATATTCAAACTTGTGAACACACTTCAGCTCTTGTCTGATTATTTAAACAGGGATAGCCACGGTGGCTCAGTGAGTAAGATGTTGGCTCGCTAATCTGGATGTCCTGTGTTCGATCCTTGTGTTGACCGCGAAAGTTCATCAGGATTTTTCGGCATGGTTTTTCCCATGTCAGTGGTATAGGATGAAGAGTCTGATGGTTAGCACGTGCGCACTGTATCTTAAGGTCTGTCATTGTGTCAACTGCCGTGGTTACGGCACACTGTATCATAAGGCCTGTCATTGAGTCAACTGGTGTGTTTTCGAATCCCCGGTTGTACGTGACGAGGAGTAGGGTCGCTTGTCCAACCTCGTGGGTTTTCTCCGGGTCCTCCGGTTTCCTCCCACTGCTAAAGACCCCTACGTGCAAGCGAAATTAACTGTTTAAATATATCACCGTTTCACCATAATGAAGGTTGCATTTGAATTTCGGGAAAACTGAAACGGAACTGCCTGACAAAATGGCCACTCCTTGTACACAAATTGTATGTAATAAAAAGGTTGTGGACCCTCTAGAGGTCACAATTTTTGTGCGATTTTGATAAAACTCCAAATATATCTTTATATCCAAAACATCTCAGCCCCTTTCGATATTTGCGCATTTCAGACCATGAATTCTTGGCTTATGGCCCCTGATTGTACGAAAAAATGCTGTCTTGCAAAATGTGGTTGTATCTTGCCTGGCAACCGCTGGTTTAAACAGTATAAGGATTTGTCTTTTATACCCTGTGATGCTAGCAACAGTCGGGGTCTCGTTGCCACTTTTTTTTTCTCTGCTTGTGGACAGTTAATTTGTGACCAATTTATAATCACAACTTGATGGAAGTTCCCTTTCAACCATGGGCAGGGGTTGAAATGTTTGTAAAATTTTACTTGTCTCAGGTGACAAGTAGAAATATTTTTTACTTGTCACTTGGTCATTTCAAGTTGTCACCATTTATTTTCGTTTTTAATAACAAAAAAAAAAATAAACTCATTGTTTTAAAGTTACAATTTCATATTTTTAAGTTATTTTTAAAATGTATTACAATAAATCCCTTAAATAGATGGTATCTATAAACAGTCCTACCTTGTTAAAGAATAATCCTATTAATCCTATAATTCACTATTGCCAGTTGAGAAATTGGCAAAAATATCATTTTTAACTTCAAATTCAAACGTTTGAAGATAGCTACTCCATGGTGGAGAATAGAAAACAAGGGAGGTATTGGGAGGTAACTGTGTTATTTTTTCCGGCGTATGTGTGAAAAAGACAACCCATGATCGTATAATAGTGAGATGACAACCTATTGAGCAAAAGACATAGAAATAATTATGTTTTGACTTTCTTAGAAAATATGAAATTGTAACTTTAAATTGTTTAATTGGCATTTAGCAAATGAATGAGAATAAGACATTACACAATTTTATAGAATACAAATTACTTAAAATTCAAAAGATTTAGTTCTGGCGATGTTTCAACAAGGGCTCTCTCGTCCTGCTTAATATCATTGTATTACTATTAATTCAAAACTTGTTGAGGGAGCCACGGTGGCTAGTTGGTTAAGACGCTGGCTCGCTAGCCTGGAGGTCGGGTGTTCAATCCCTGCATTGGCCGAGAAAGTTCATCGGGATTTTCCAACGTGGTTTCCCCTTGTCAGTGGTGCAGAACGGAGGGTCTGACAAGGACAGCTGTCTAGTCCTTCGGATGAAACGAAAAACCGAGGTGCCGTGTATACATTGGAATGCACTTAAAAGATCCCTTGGCAGTTGGAATTCGACATAAGAGTAGGCGATAGTGTCGCTGCCCGGGCAAAATTTCCCTCATAGCACACTGTATGGCGTATGCCCGTCTTCATTAGCCCAGTTCGGTGCAGAACAGTAGGACGTTAAACCCCATTTCATTTCAAAACTTGTTTGCCTTCATTTTCGCTACCGGCATATATATATATATCCGCTTTTCATTTGTGTCTGCTTTAAATAGAGGGCGAGAGTGGGTGTTTCTTTTTCATAAAAACAACGTTTTCGTAGCACTAGCATGGAATAGATCAGTAATAATAATGGCCAAAGAATTAAATTATTTCCCTAGAATGATGTAATATTGAGTGTGATTGGATGATTAAGAACGAACAGACAAAATTGTGGGCACCACAAATTTATGCCTTGACAGTGGCAGAGGCCTCTTGTCCGGGCTTGTCATATTTCACACATCGACTATTACATTGCCACGCCTAAATTTTACTGTAGCCTACCTATTTTGCAAGGCTGGGGAAGCATGATTGTAGGCTCTGTTATCCAGGCAATTGAGAGATCCACAGTAGTTCAGTTTTATTTTGACGCTGGCTCACTAACCAGACAGTCTGTGGGTTGGTGGAGGATTTTTCTTGAAATAATCAGGCCTGGTTTCCACTTGTCAGCAGTATGCAAAACAAAGGGTGTGAACGTAGAGCAACCCTTTACTTTACAGTTTGAATTTTATGAATAGTAGGCAATGCCGCTGTTCAAACAATATTTCCCCTCCTAACAAAATTGCATGGCATATATATGCTTGTCTCATAAGTCGGTTTTGTGCAGAACGGTAGGATGGCCATGCTAAACGCCCATTTCATTTCATGAGTTATTCATGATGGTTCAATTATGATGAACAGTAAAATATTTAAGACTTACATGTACTTCGTATTGTCATAAATATCATGATTGGATAAATTTCATACCTTTACCTGAAATTCTCCTTTTAGTGGTAACCATGGATACAATGAGTCTTGTTTAGTAAAAGTGCAAAAGCTCTCATTATCTTAAACAAGAAAAAAATAAGAAATTAATTTCTTAGTATTAAATAGATTTCTTTCCTTTTAGAATTTCATTGCCCTCTAGAAAAACAAAATGCAGAGGAAATAATTTAGCAACAAATTTTCAGCCGAATAACGCCCCTTTTTGACTAGCTTGATTTTCACCTACAATTGGTAACCTTCAAACAAGTTTAATCAGGTTGTTAGATAGGGCAGCTAGCCTTGCCGGCAGGGAAGATTTCAACTGATAACATTCATAGATTGTTAGGTGATTGCACCACATTGTCCTAAATGGCTAGCCTTGCCGGCAGGGGAAAGTTACTAATCATGAGATCAGCAGGTGATTTTACATCTATGTCAAACAGGCTTGGATATTAGAGTTTAGTTGTACCAGGCACTGATGATCTAGTACCAGACAATCTGAACTTTGCGCGGCGCGTGTATTAAAAAAAAAAAGAAAAAGAGAGATTTGTGCTGCGCATGTATTAATGAAAAATAA